CCCCTCCCTCTGTTGTACCTCATGACATACAGGTCAAGAGCTTCAGGGGCCCCACTTTGCTTCTGGAACCCCTTGTTGTCACCATTTCTATGGACAGGGGCTGGAGAGTCAGATCTCCCCCCGCAGCTTGTGTGAGGCCAAATAAACGTTCAATCATTCAAAAGGGATATTGTAGAAATCTCAATAAATTTAGGTCCGTTAATTATACTTTATTTTTGTTAAGTTTTAGAAAATATTTTTGGGCTGATTTCTTAATATTTTCATTGTGACATCAATTTCACTCACGCCATCAGAGGCCCCTTCCATTCATTCTTTCAGTTTACATTCCTTTACCATGATATGGTTAGTTGTCTTTTAAACCTGAAGCTTGTTCTCACAGATACAGGCTGCTCTAACAGGACACCAGGCTTCTCTAGCGGGCCTCCTTGTGATGGGTTTCCCATCCTGGATGGACCACAAGTCATTGTAAAAATCAGATTCCAGAAGCACACATACACACAAAGTCTTTGTCATTGACAAAGTATTTTATTTTAACTGGTGGGGAAGGTAATCCTGCCCACTTGGTATTTTTATTTATTTTTCCTTTAACCTTCCTCCTCCCCTCCCGCTGGGCCTACATTCCTGGGTCTTTGTCTCTGCCTGGTATTTTAGAAATTTTGAGAGAGGAAGGCCTTGGGTGGGGCTTGCTGGAAGCTGGGGGCAGGGAAGAGGGTGGTCACTTGCTGGGTCAGAGGTCAAGCCTGCCCCATTCAGCAGGGGCAGCCGGATTGTCGCCAGGCCCAGGGGGCGTGTCCATGCATCTGCCCGGGAAGCCCCTCACCAGCCCTGGAATTCCTACAGCTAGTGAACCTCTTCCTCACCCTTCCCTCAGTTGATGGCCTGCATCGCCCTTTCGGTGGAAAACTCCAGTTTATTCTTTAAAACAACTTTCTAGCCATTCACAGAGAATACACATCGTTACTTGATGGCCTCCCTACTCTCGCCCCCCCCCCCCCAAGCTCTAACATTGTGACTCTTTATCTTAGAGAAAATGCAGGTAGATAAAAATACTGAGCTCTAAATGTAGCATTAAAGCTTTCCCAATCTTTTATTCTAAATTTAGCCAACAGGTTTATAAAAATTGGACTTGTTTTAGTTTTTGGATTATGAGTTAAAATTATTAATAAGCACATTAAGGTTGTGCTTTTGTTGTTACTTGCTGTCTGTGTTGGCTGTGAATCATAGCTACCTTATGTATAACAGAACAATATAGTTGCCTGGTCCGCCACCAACCTCAGAATTGTCTGTGTTTGTAACTATTATGTCAGCCCACCTCACTGAGGGTTTCTCTTGTTTTCACTGACTCTACAAAACAGGATGTCCTTTTCTGGAGCTTGGTTCTTCCTGATGGCTAAAGTCTCGCCAGCTTCCCTTGCTAAAGGAATATTCTGGCTGTATTTTCTTCTAAGACATATTTGTTTGTTCTTCTGACAGATTATGATGTATACAACCCCCCACCCCCACCCCAGTGTTACAGTTTGAATGCCTCAATTCTTCTGTCCCTTTTCATTATCCATCTTATGTATGCATATGAAGCGACTGGAAAAAACAATAATTTGGGCCAGACTGCACGTTCATCCCCAACATGACATCTTTGGTTTAAAAAATGTCAAAAAGGTCTTTTGTAGCAGATTTGATCAACGTAACATGTTGTTTGGTTTCTTGACTTTTATCCACCCATAATTTTTATGATCAGTTCTGCTGGTCTTTGTAGGCAGTCCTGAATATGGACCAACACTGGCCCTTCTGAAATCACAGTGTGTCCTAGACACTTAGAACTTCATGATTCCACTTTTATAGTCATTGCATCTGCTGTTGTTGTTAGAGTGCCTCTGAGTCTGCTTATATAGTACAGAGTCATCATGCTCCCCTTGCATGAATTGTTAAGGGTCCTCGAGTCCATTCCGACTCATAGTGACCCTGTATAGGGTTTCTGTGGAGCAGCTGGTAAGTTTGAACTTCCGACCTTGTGATTTAAACTAACCTTGTGGTCCAGTGCTTCTTTTGGAGTGTATTTTCTGCCCAACATAATCCACGTTCTGTATTTTATGGGTAACACATGAAAACTCAGGCAAATCACCATAGTTCCTTGTAGTTGTGTAGTTGAGACCTGGAATTCTGTTTCCTAGGTCAGCCCAGAGTTACTTGTAAGCCTCTGTTTTCGTATTGCCTCAGAGTGGGAGGGTTAAGGGTACCTAAGCAGATCTTATTAATGGATTGAATTGTTGCAATCCTCACACCACCCTGAAAGTGCTGGAATCTTCACCTTACATTCCTTCCCCAATAGAAAGTGGATGTGATCCCATTTGGGGGAATAGGTTTTCTTGATTATATCAGACCACCTAGAATCACCAAGGAACCCTGAAGGAAATAAGCAGACAAGAGATGATGATTTTCATCAAGAGCAGACACAGAGAAAAGCCTTTCCCTAGAGCTGGCACCATGATTTTGGGCCTTTGGTCTCCAAAACTCAGAAAATAAAAATTTTAGTTGAATAAAGCCACCCACTTATGGTATATCTAGACAGATCCACTGTTTTCACAGTTGAATTAATTGAAGGCTAGATAGGGGTTTGTTGTTGTTAAGTGCCGTCGAGTCGGTTCCGACCCATAGCGACCCTGTATAGGGTTTCCAAGGAGCAGCTGGTGAGCTTGAACCACTGACCTTGTAGTTCAAACAACTTTGCAGTCTGACACATTAGCCCACAGCGCCACACCAGGACTCCCAAACAAGGTTAAGATAAGCTCCCACTAACAGTTTACGGTTCTTTTCTATGCACCACAGATTGGCTCCCTCACAGGAGCAGAGAGGGGGGTCTAACTGTCAGATTTCTGTTAGTCACATTAACCAACAGTGAAGGAGGGAAGATATAGAGAGGAGAGAAGCTTTCGGATTGCTTAGCTGCCTGGCAAAAGAAGGGCCAGATAGTTGAGAGGCAATTTTCATAGTAATTTAAAAGCAGTCTTTTGATGGAAGGGTTTTAGACTTAGTATAAGAGTGTATCCCTATTCACTATCCCTATTTATTCCCATGACAAATGGAAGAGAGCAAAGGGAAGGAGGTTGTTGAAACTGGTAGAATTGCTTTAGCACCACATGTTAAAAGGGAACTGTCTGAGAATTTTTCCTCAATTTACATAGCACAGCATCTTTTGGTTAATATTTAGGTTTCTCAGACTAGATAATCTATAAATGGTGAACCTACTGTCCTTGTGTTGCACTGTGCACTAATGCATCAGACTGCAAAGTCGTTTGAACTGCAAAGTTAGTTGTTCAAGCCCACTCCCCATATAAGCATAAATCATGATGGATTATAAACCTTCCTATTAACATTCACAGTTAACCGAGTCTTGGTTGCTATAAAGGAGTCGCCGTGGGTTGGAACCGACACTGGGTGGCATTTAACAACAAGTGAAATAGCAAGCCTGTTTGCTTGACTGAGCCAGTGGATAGGTCATTTCCAATTGAACATTTCCTGGTTTGGCACTCTGGGCTAAAGCACTGGGCCGCAAGGTCTGTTTGAGCGGTTCAGACTCACCAGCTGCTCCTTGGAAACCTTATATGAGGGTCACTATGTGTTGGAACTGACTTGCCGACATGTAACAACAACAACATGCTTAGATTTGGTTGGTTAATAAAATAATCATCACTTAGAAGGCAAGAAGCCCGGTTCTTACAATGTCAGCTCCCTTATGTCCCCCAGGTCCACCATCCCTTTATGTATGGTACTGTCAGCTCCCCTTTCCTGTCTTAATCTCCTGCAGCACTCTCCCCTTCCCTGCCTCTGGAGTCTCACATCCTCACTCTCCACAATTCTGAGCGAGGTGCCTTGCACAGTACAAGTGTTCTGGGGGGAAATTCGGATTGTATTCCGATGATGCGATAGTAACCATGTGTGTGCCTGTTAGAAATAGCGCTTCAGAAGACTCCAGTTGGCCGCCCTGCTCTGCCCTTGTTAGCTGTGTGGCCTGGAGCCTATCACAGCCTCTCTTCTTTCATCTGTGGAGTATGTTTTGGGCACAGCTTCCTTGCCTGTTGCCTGGCTTCCCTCACACCCAGGTGTACCAGAGGCGAATTTAAGCTCTGCCCTTGAAAGCAATCCAGAAAATATTTACAGAGAGCGTGGCTAAGTGCCTTGCTCTGTGGAGGAACACAGCAACGGCATTGGCCCAGTTTCTGTGCCAAGGATCTTTTGAGAGCTCCTCATTTATCAGCAGGTGGAGCTTGTGCCAGCTGCCCCCACTCCCCCCCCACACACACACAGTATGCAGGGCCCCAGGGAAACATATAACATCACATAAAGCAGTTCTGTCAGCACTGGCTGCCTCCCAGGTTCAACTCCTTGGAATAACTTGGCAGAGAGAAGAAAGGCGAGGAGCTGGCTGACCTTACTCTACTAGCTTTTTGCCTTAGTTCCAGAAGCTTAAGCCCATAGTTTGCTTGAGTGCCTATGAGGACCATGCTTTGCACTTGGTACTAATCTTCTTGATAATGAGAATGGGAACAAGCTCTGGTGTAAGAGTGATTAATACTGGCTCTTAACCTTGATTCACACATCCAAGAACTAGGATGGCAAGAGAAACCTTTCCTGGCATGTTCTTTTACATAGGCCACCAATCTCAGATTAGAGAAACATAATCTAGTACCTTTTCTGGGTGATTGATGTGAGATTCAGGGAAGTCTCTCCTGCTAGAAGGATGGTTTGTGTTTCACGTTTGCCTTTGAAACATGTCACTTATGGTTCTGAATGAAATGGAGGTTGCATTGTGGGAGTCGATGTGTTTTCCCATTGATTTGGGGCAGAAGGGAGTAGGAATTTGTGATTGTGTTCGCTGTTGACAGCATTACTCCCTTTCATTACAGGGCTGGGAAGTAGGGTGTGGGGGTCCTGATACTCTGATCTGCTTTCCTTATTGCCACCATGAACCCTCTTTAATGCCTTTCACCTCCCACCCTCCCCAGGTGCTGCACCTGTATTGTGACACTTGCTCGGTGCCCATCTGTCGCGAGTGCACGATGGGCCGTCACGGAGGCCACAGCTTCATTTACCTCCAAGAAGCGCTGCAGGACTCACGGGCCCTCACCATCCAACTACTGGCAGATGCCCAGCAGGGCCGCCAGGCAATCCAAGTAAGTTCTCCATACGTTTTGTTTTCACGTCTTTCTTGACCATCGAGAACCCCAAGTGGTACAGATGGTTAACACTCTGAACTACTAAATAAAGAGTAGAAATGCCTCAGGAGAAAAACTTGGAGATGGTGCTTCCAAAAAAAACCAGCCATTGAAAATCCTGTAGCACCCAGTTCTCCATGGACACATGGGGTTCTCATGTGTTGGGGTCAACACAATGGAAACAGAGTTTTCTTACACATAGAACCTTGGCCCCCTGTGTGTGGTGGTGGTGGTGGGGCGGTGTATGGAACATTGAGTTACATGAGATTCTGTGGCATCTATTTAGCAACAGTCCTTTGAGGGTAGGTTTTCTTGACAATCTCATGGAAGTGAGGGGCCTGTGAGCCCCATTAATCAGGGGCATATTATGAAAGTTACAAATAAGTCAGGGCTTGTAAAAGTTCCCAGACAACTAGGCTATTAGATTGCACCCTATCACATCATCTGCTTATCTCCCACTTAGTCCTCTTCCAAATCCTTGTGGACATTAGTACTTATGAGTCAGGGTTGCAGATAGACTGAGGATGGAAACTCTTGCTTTCTAGAGACCTATGCTATGTGAATTGATTTATTAATAGTTTTCAGAAATCAGTGAGCAGAAGGTGGAGGTTCAGAAGGTTGGATATTCCCTGAGTCATAGTGATAAAAAGCCGTTATTTTAGATGGTTGCTTCTGATGACTCCTCTACTACCAGAGTTAACAAGGGAAATTGGCAGAATTTTCTTATATAACAAGCCAGTTGACATAGTAGTCAACCCCAAGTCATGGAAACCCCAAATATATTAGAATAAGAACTATGATATAGAGTTTTGGGGTCCTTGTGTGGATAGCATTAGACTACTAGCCATAAGGTCGGCAGTTCAAACCCACCAGAAGCTCCTCAAAACCCTCTACAAGGGTCACAACCAAATCAGTGACACTTAACAACAACAGCATGGCTCAGTTTTTGAGGAAATGATCACTAGGCCTTTGTTCCCATGTGCCTCTAGGTGGACTTGAATCTTCAACCTTTGGGATGACACCACCCAGGGACTCCTGACATAGTACATAGTTGGGTAATGTTGTCATGTTACTGTGGCATCATTTCCCATCCATAGTGACCCTATATGACAGAACTGCCTCAGAGTTTTCTTGGCTGTCATCTTTGCAGAAGTAGATTGCCAGTATTTGTCTCACAGAGCAACCATGTGGGTTGAACCAACCAGCTTTTCAGTTAGTAGCTTAACCATTTGCTCTACCAGGCTCCTTAGTTGGTTAATAGTGTGCCTGAATTGATTTTTAAATCTTTTTGATTCATCCCCAGGTGTGACAAGGCTTTTAAGTAATATAGAAAATGATCATTTTTTCTTGTGTTGTTAGATAAACTTGAAAGTTGAAAAATGTTGCTCAGTCTCCAGCAGAAATTGCATAAGGAACCATTTTTCAAGTGTATTTACATTCTAGAGTATTCAAATAATGAATTTAGTCATTTTTTTTTAATTGTAGAGAAATGAAATCATCTACCCTAAAGAAAGAGATTGAAGGAGATTTTGGAATTTAAAAATGTTCCTTAGAAGTACCATGGTCCTACATTGAAGGAATGTTTGTTTTTGTTGAGTTCGAGGTTTTCTGTTGTTCAAATTATGGGAGTGAGAGAGTCTGTTTTTGCCATGTTCACATGCCAGTTATTAATTTCTTTAAGTTACCTTCAGAGTATTTCTAGGTTACTGTAAGCTTCATTTACCGGCATCTTCACTGGTTCATCATTCTATTTTATGCCAGCATAGAAATCTGTCTTATTTACCTACTTTTGTTGTTGTTGTTGTTAAGTGCCGTCGAGTCGGTTCCGACCCATAGCGACCCTGTACAGGGTTTCTGAGGGTGTAAACCTACTTTGGGAGCATTAATTTCTATTATTCCCTCTGCCTTAGGGGAGAGCAAGAGCTTCAATGGAGTCTTTCAAGCATTAGTTTTACCTACTTATGTAGTGACTTTAAAAAGCACAAATTTGTTCTCACAGATTTATTATATAAAGTCCAAATTCAGCATGCCAACTCTAGGGGAAGGATTTATCCTAGTTTCTCTTCAACATCTATAAGCTTGGCATTCCTTGGAGATCTCCATGTGTCTTGATATCAGTTTTCCTCTGGTGTTAGGAGGTTCTTGGTGAAGGGACTTCAGGTCCACTTGAAATACTCCATTCCCCAGCTCTTCTTTCTTGCTGGTAGTAATGTACCATTTATGCCACCACAGTTAAGACCTCGCTAAGTGTCTTAACTCTGTTGTTGTCTATTGGAACTCTGGTACTCAATCTTAGCTGCATGCGGTCATCTCCTGCAAATCTGAAACACTATGTTGTGATACCATCCGTCTGGGATATTACCTGCCAGGTAGGGTTTTTAAATCACCCCAGGTGATTCTAAAGTACAATAAGATTTGCAAACTACTGATGGAGACTTTTGGGGAGCATTGATTTTTATTTCCCCCCTTTGCCCTAGGAGATTAAGCACTTGAATGGAGTCTTTCAAGCATGAGTTAGAGAATGGCTGCTGATCTTTGGCTGTGTCACTGCAACCTGTGCTTTGTGGGATCAGCCACTCTAAGGAGAAAAACTAGTTGCCATGAGTAGCTAAAGAGATCTGTGGTTAAAACGATGAAATTTCAGAAGAGAAAGAATTAGACAGAAGATGTTGATGGCACTCATTTTTCTAAACTGTGTGTTCAAACTCTCCATGTTCACTGACTGAGCAGTGGAAAGAACTAGACCCAAAGGGGGAAATCAGAATATTAATTGGTAGTGCTATGCCCGGCACTGTCTGAATAATGAATTACGTTCTTGTTGGTGGCAGCCCAGGTGGCAGGGGGTGGCAGTACTTATGGTGAGGTGAGAGGTTTTGTGTTTTAAAAAGCTTAACACAGTATGGTTATACAGAACCAGCAACTTACAGTGGCTGGTGGGTTTGAACAACTGACCCTACAGTTAGCAATCCAATGCTTAGTCTACAGTGCCACACCAGGACTCGAGGTTGTTGTTAGTTCCCATATAAATCACAAAAATAAGCTTTGCCCTTCAAGATACGAATACTGATGGGGACCCAGTTTTGAGAACGAACAACTATTTTATACAAAGGACAACTGGGCAGAGCAGGGGTCAGGACAATGAGTTGCATGTCATTGAAATACATGATTTCAGGTGATGAAAGGTGAGACAGCTTACTGTTAGGTTCCCTAATTTGATCACAAGGCACTGGGGTCAGCATATTTTGAGCAAAATTTGACTGAGCAGAACTACAGAGGAACATTGAGATATATGCAAGGTCGTCCTCATCCCTGGGAACATTTGCAACAAAATTGATTTTTAAATGACATAATTTTAAGTCATTTAAAAAAAAAAATATTTGGGGAAAGCAGCTACTAATGCACAGGGTGTTGGGCACCATGGTGCTTCGAATTCTAACCTTCTTGATTTTTCCTACCAATGAATCTTGTTGTGAAATGCCATTGAGTCGATTCCGACCCATAGCAACCTTGTATGGGGTTTCCAAGGAGTAGCTGGTGAGCTTGAACCCAATGCATCTTAGGACATCCTTATTTCAGTGGATCTTCTGAATGGACTAAATGATCTACTTCACAAAAATCGGTCAAAGAAAACTGAATAGATCAGAATGGTCAGATCCACAATCCATCATGGGAATGGTGCAGGGACCCAGCAGTGTTTCATTTGTTTTACATGGGGTTATCATGAGTCTGGGATGATTGCAACAGATCACAGGGTATGCATTTGTTTGCTTATACAAGATGCTTAGACTTGTATATATAAGTAGTTTTTCTGCTATGTAGTGGTGTAGAGAGACATTGAAACTTAGATGTTCTTCACAGTGGTGAGTTTCTTCATACCTTACCTTTGTAATGTGGGTCCCCATATATTTATTCTTATCATTTTCAAGAAAAATAATTACTATTTAGACAGGCGTATCCTGTTTTATTGCGCTTCACAAATGCTATGCTGCATGTTGAAGTTTTGTAGCAACCCATACATCTATCAGTACCATTTTCCAAACAGTATGTGTTCATTTTGTGTCTCTGTCACAGTTTGGTAGTTCTCAAAATATTCCAAACTTCTTCATAATGCTGTAGCACACTTGGTAGACTGTGGTGGTGGAGGTGTGCCGTAGAGTCGGATCTGACTCATAGCAACCGTGCATGGGTTTTCCGAGACTGTAAATCTTTATGGAAGCAGAAAGCCTCATCTTTCTCCATGGAAAAACTGCTCGTTTCGAACTGCTGACCTTGAGGTTACCAGCCTGACTTGTAACCACTACATTACCAGAGCTCCTTGATACACTAAAGTGCGCATATATATATGCATTGGGAAATCAAAGAATTTGTGTGACTTGCTTTATTTTGCAATACTGTCTTTAGTTCAGTTACAAACTTGCACTATCCCCAAAGTATGCCTGTGCAGAATATAATTCTGGCTGCAGAGTTAAGATGAGGTTGTGATTCCTTTTGCATGGATGATTTCAATAACCACCAAGTTTAAAAGTCATGGGTCTATGAAACAGTCCTAGATTTTTTTCTTTTGATCTTAGTAGTATTAATGTAGTAAACAAATCTTTAATCAGCTTTTAAAAACATATTATTTGTACTGGCAAATAAATTGGCAGATTCACAAAACAGAGTACATATCCCAAAAGTATGATTTATATTGTTGATGACATAGTTAAAAGAGCATCACGCCAAATTGGAGTTGATTTAGAAAGAAGGAATATATTTAATTATCACAAAAATATGACAGATGTATTGCTAACTCAATGAAAAGATCATAATTAAACTGAGAGATGCTGAAAGATAAATTGAATGAAAGAAATGAATGAACATACCTTGTTGTTGTTAGGTGCCATCGAGTCAGTACCGACTCAGTGATAATATGCACAACTGAATGAAATACTGCATGATCCTGGGCCAACCTCACTATG